TAACTGGCCTGTTTTCATTCTCATCTATCACCCTTCACTGGTGCTCCGCCAACGTATCCTGTTAGTGCAGGCGAGGTTACCATACCATTTTCATCCATCAAAAAAATATACCTATTTAAAAGTAATAATTTGCATTTTTTTATATCTAGGTATGCAAAAACTTTTTTAGTTATAAAAATAAAGAGGTACTTTGTTTTTTCACTACTTCGCTATTTTGTTTTTCAATAAACTCAAATTGGTTGTATTTTATTTATTTATTTATTACATCCACTGGATGAGCTTTACCGATATACCAAATGGCGCAGGCAGGGTTACCATTACATTATTATCCAGTCCAATCTAAAAAACTCACGGAAATGGAAGTAGTCGTCCAATCTTTGGTCTAAAACTTCATTTGGATTATTACAATTTAATCTCCATTTTTAATTGATACACTTACTAACAACTAAACAATACAAATATAATCGCCGTGTGTGCCTCAGCATAGAATTGGCCACCCCTTCCTTTCCCGTGGGTGTCGTAAAAGGCGACTAAGGAAATCCATCTTAAAACACCTCTAAAAGCTTAACTGCGGTTGCCAGTCCGCCTGCCAAGCGTGACAACTACTAGTAAAACTCCCCTCGTGAGGAAGGCTTATGTCTAGAAATAAACAGTTAACGGTTGAAATAATAAAAAAAAAACTAACCAATAGTGTTTTATTTATATAGAAGATACATAAATCTGCAATAAATAGTCTATTTGCATATCATTAGTATTTCGTCCACGCAATTAAAATTTATTGCTCCACTTTCAAATTGGCTCAGTTATGGAACAGGTGGACAGTGAGATTGTTTTTTTTTATATTTTTTTATATTATTAATTTGAATATTTATTATAAGTATATATTATATAAGTATTAAACATCAACACTATTGGGAAATGTTTTGAGAATATACATTTCAGAGCCAAATGTATTATATCTAACTAAAGATATTGACATAAATTAGTATTTATACCTCAAGATGTTCTTAAAAATAATCATTAATTTATATATAATAATAATCGAAACCGAGAAAAAGAAAATATCTCGACTTGGCTCACGAGGTGACCGAAATGGAGGGTGACGTCCACCGAAATTACTCCAATCGTTTTGTCGGTGAACGGTCTTATCCCAACCAGTCTGAAACAACATCTCAGACGGTTGGGATTCCGAGGCGGCTCACTTCCGGGAAAGATGCAGAAAGCGGTGCTCCTAGACACTGCCCGCATTGTATGCCGGTTTCTCTCCCTGGGGCCTTGAACCCGGGCCGACTGTGCTTCTGCCGGGGGTTAGTTTGCCATCTCCTCTTCTTAAGAGGGGAGATGTGAATTTTTGTAAAAATTAAATAATAATAATAACCCTAAGGTTGTCTTGAAAAGATTGCCCTCAGCAATAAGACCGCCTTATTGTATACTGTACTTATACAATTGTATCGTTGTGTTTGTTAATTATTCTGCTTATTTCCTTTATTGTATAATGCGAATAAAATATACTTATTCATTCATTCATTCAATAAGAAATTAATAAAAAAAAATAAGATTACATATTTTTTATGACTTATCTATAAGTACCAACATTACATACATACATACATATCTGTCACGTCTGTCTCCCAATAAGACTAGGCAGAAACAATGGAACGCCAAATGCTTCGATTCAAACAAACCTCTTTCGCTTCTTCCACATTCATCAATCTTTTCATACACGCTCGCCGGTTGCGGGTACTTTTAATTCGGTCCTTCTTCAGCACGTCGCCTATTTGGCCGACATACGTCCGTCTAGGGCGGCCCCTACCGACATCTTCATTCATTCTTGCTCGATAAATCTCTTTCGTAATTCTTCTTTCATCCATCCTCTCCAAATGGCCAAAACAACATTAATCTATTGTAAATTACTGTTGAAATGTTTTAAGGATTTTCCAGAATAACCTATACTTTTAATTTGTTTTAGTTAGTATTGTGAGTATTAAAATATTATATATATGAGCTAGATAGCTATGCGTAAAGTTAAGACCAAATATCCGATATTAGATGCACGTACCTAGTCAAAACATTTTATCGTCGGCATTCCTGAATAGCTTTTATCTGATAATGCTGATTATCGGTTTAAAAACTAACACTATGTCTTCTCGGCGTTATTGTTTCATCAATATGAGTATATTAGTCATCACATAGGGTCCTATCGTGATTAATTTATCAATTTATAAGGTTATTAAAACATTTCTATTGCGATTTTATAATATTTTGTGCCTTAAAACTAACGTAAAAAGACCACGTTTCAGTTCGATCCTATATTTTTTTTTGATGGGCAATACTGAGAATGATGGGCAAAACTGCTGAGTACGTAATTCAGCACTTTTGCCTTCAATTCTATATATTAAATTCAGTCATCGATATATGTAACCAAGTAAGTACATTTTATTAATCCACATGGGAAACAAACACATGTGAAATCAAGTGTTGCCTCTCAAAGGGCAAATGTCACGTTCACATCTGCTCTCGACGATATTGTTTTTAAATTGTACAATGCACTGTGGGCGAGTGCGCAGTCGCAATACCAATTTAAAACGAGTTATTACACAAATGAATTGATGCAAGGGTGTATAATGACGCGTTCAATGTCAATATTAAATAGAGGATAAGTAGAGCTACGATTATCATGGCAATGTTATAGAAACTATGTGGACGCGTACAAAAAACTATGGAGGGGGGAAAGGGATTGTTAGTAATGGAATCTAATTGAACCATTGCTAGCAATACATTTGTAGCAATCAGGTTGACTTCCACGCGGTTCCCCCTGGAAACCGTCGTGATTAATTCTAGTGGAATTCGTCCCGATGAGCTAACTGACCTGCCTTTTCATTTTTATCTGTCATCCCTCACTGGTGCCCCGCCAGCGTATCCCGATGGCGCACGCGGGGTTACCATTCCATTATCAACCATTGAAAAAAAGTTTATGGATAGTAGTAAAATTTAAAAAAAAGTTTATAATAATATCGGTACAATAAGACAGATGCCCATGCGGTGTTACATCATACACACATATTTGTCACGCCTGTCTCCCATTAGGGTGATGCGGTTTTACGTCCGTATTAAAAAAAAAAAAAAAAACTTAAAGCATCTACAAACCTACGTCAACTATTATTATTTAGACACTTTCTTTCTAAATTATGAATTTAGCGCAAAAATATGTCAAAAAAAACCTCAATTTCGAAAATAGATTTAAGTTAATGTTTGACGTTTTTATAAATGAAAGAGTTAATAAATTTTGAACTTCTAGTAAAAACTGATAAGTAACTATATATATAACTAACTATATTTTATAACTAAGATTGTGCTTCACAAAAAGAAATCGATTTCAACTGTAGCAAAAACAGTTGTTTTGATTTTCAAACTTAATTGAAACATTTTTTAAAAAAAATTTACGGGACTAATCTGTATGTTTCTTTCATATTAAAAAAGATCTTTCCAAATCGGTTTACAACTGATCGAGGTATGAAGTAACAAACATGAAAAAAATACAACCGAATAATAACAACGAAAATAACAAACCGAACCACCTTCTTTTTAAAGTCGGTTAAAAATGGTGATTAGTGATATTTCTAGTTACACCTAGATTAGATTTATGCACAGTTTACACTATTTTAGTGGCACAAAATTTAGCTCTGGATTACAACTGGAACTAAACTACACTGGATCCAATGGAAAGTCAAGCATCTCAGGTCCAGTCTGTTTAAATTATTCTAGTTGCACTTTATTGTTGGAATCGACCGTTTTACTGGAATTCCTATTAATAACCGGCCATTATTTTTAGATAAATATCTATCGACTTTTAATGAGTAAAATTGAATACTATTATTAATCATATTCACTTAGATAATAATAAAAATATAGCATAAAAATGTCAAACAAACAATTTAACATTCCATAGGATATAAGTTACAGGAAATTCCTAAAAATAACAAAAATAATGAACACCCTCAGTCAAGTGGTACATAGACATAATTACATTATAAGAGAACTGCCTAGCTACAGTTTACAACTAATAGGTACATATTAAAAGAAATCTTTCTAGGTATGCATAAACCACATTTGTTACAAGATATTGCCCTGTAATGAATACCTATTGAATAGAAATCAGTTGACCAAATGATTTCCAAACACCGTGTAATTTATTCCCCGAACAATACTCGTGATTTTACAACTTTCACATCACGCATTACAGATAGACACTCAATACAATAATGCCAATGTTTGATGTCCCACCATCAAACCGACAACAAGCAAATAGGTAGTTACAATAATTGTCTTTTAGTAGCCACATCTGGCGTAGCGCCTTGTAAGTGAACACATTGCACCATTAATTCCGATCAAGTACAACACACCTCACAAATATGCACAAACTAATTAACACACCATCTTTTTAAAATAAGACTAAAGTTCGTTTCGTTTAAAAAAGTTCGAAATAAAACACTACACTACACCGGCCTGACCGGACAACATACGCGGACCAACGTACCAAACAAACTTGTCTCTTGCTTGCTGTTGCCTTTGCTTCGCTTCTCATACCAATGACAGAGATAGGAATATACCACGTTTCTTTCTATTACGATGTTAAGTTAAAAAGATTCTAATAACTTGATAACAACGAACTCAATCTGCTGTTTAAATTATGCGGTTAATACAAGAAGGAAAATATCGTATAAGTATGAAGAGTACAGACAGAGAAAATCCAACGTCTGTGAAAGAGAGAATGCACACTAAGAAACAGATAAAAAACGACCATTCGTCACGTGTGCGGTGTACGTCATTACATTCAGTGTAAAATAACCGGTATTACATTGAATTAAGATTCAAATTTAATTTTATAATAAAGGTATGGTTTGTTTACCTGGTTCTTTGGCGCGCTATTTGAAATATATATCTACTAAATAGGGCAGTGCCTTCCTTGGAAGAGATTAAGTAATAAAATAAAATCCTACCTTACAGGCGTAGGAGGTGCTGGCCTTTTAGTACTTTTCACTTCATTTGCGTTCGTCCAAATGTCGTTATTATTAACAATCTTTGTTGATTTTAATTTTTCGATCACTTTTGGTTTTAAAGATGGCGGCAATATACTTTCGGTTGGCGTGTCGGGTACGTAAGACTTTTTTACTATTTTAATGATTGAGTTCGATCTCTTTAGCTCATGTTTGGGGTTCTTCGGAGCTTTTCTGGGCCCTCCAGGGTCTGGTGTATGTATATTTGTCTTGTCTGGCCGTTTTAATTCAATGGATAATCTGTTAGGTTTTTTTAAAGGTGGTTTGGTAAGATCTGCTCTTCTGAGTTTTACCTTTGTCGATGTTTCTGGTAGTGGAGGCGCTGAAAAAAGATGCATTTTTTTATTATAATTGATAGCTGCTTGCTCTCTTATTCATAAAAACTAAAATGTCCTACAAACCTACTTAAATTATAAAAGTGTTTTGTCATTGTTTTTCACATTGAGAAATTAGTGCAAAAGGACAAAACACTTATATAACTAAAATTGGTTTATTATTTTTATGAATAAGGACATTTTTATGAATAAGCTGATTAGCTTTTATTTCTACGTTACACCTATTTGCCAAAGAATGGTTATATCTAAGAGATAACACTAAGGTCGGTATTGATAAAAAAAAATTACAATGCTTTCTATTGTATCTTGTTTCTTGCTTTCATCGCACGAGAAATTTCTATGCAAAATTTCAAATTTGTAGGCTTTATGGCCGCTTTACTGACTTTCTACCTTTTAGGTACTAAGTATTAAATACCTATCCATTTACAGGCATTAAATAGATCTACTTAAATGGTTGTATATACATTTTGACAAATGATTCATTGATTACTAAGTAGAGTGATTTAAATAAGGGGCGAGTAATGAGTCAGGTCGCTAAAATTCATCAAAAAATATTTTAGTCGACAGTGAAATTCATATAGACCCTTGAAATTGAATGAATGACATTGCTCATCCCTAATACATAACGAAGTGGGGGGAGGGGGGGAGGGGGGTTGACCTCCACGTGGTCCTCCCTGCTGAAACCATCGTGCTGAATCCCAGGTCTAGACTGGTCCTTCCCTCATACACTGCCACAAGGAACGATCCTGAGCCACCTGCATCCACTGACTCCCTGTAGTCCATTTGTGGTCGTCATTGCATCTAGTGGGGGGTCGTCCTACAATGTGTTTGCCCGTACGTGGTCGCCAACTAAGAACCTTTCTTCCCCAATGATTATCGATTCTTCGAGCCATGTGACCAGTTTACTGACACTTCAGCTTGCTTATCCTTTGTCGGTTACTTTGCATACATGTAAATTATATCCTAACTTAGCACATAGGATAGGAGGGAAAGGGATTGTTAGAAATGGGGATTAATAACTCTATTACTAGCAATATACCCTATCAGGTGGACCTCACTGTTCCCCCTGGAAACCATTGTGGTTGATTCATTTGCGAATTTGTCAGGATGGGCTAACTGACCTGCATCATTCTCACTGTTGCCCTACCAGCGTATACCATTAGCGCAGGCAGATTCACCATTCTATTAGCATTCATTAAAAAAAAAAGCACATAGCATACTTTAGGCGGAGCTGCGGGGTACAGATAGTAAATAATATAATCCTCACCAGTTTTAGGCCTATTCCTCGTAACAGGTTTAGTCTCCGCGCTGCCTATCTTGGCGGTTGTCTCGACTTCCGGTGAGGCGGCCTGCACCGCCTTGCTACGAGAGCTGAAGGTGGCTTTGAAGAAATTCGAGGCGAACCCTCGCCGCGCTGCTAACGACTTCGAGCTGGATTGCGGTTGTCTAGGAATAAATAAATAAAAATTCTTCGAGTCTATGTTACGATAAATTCCAAAACTGTACGAGAATCATTATTTAATTAAATAATATCAAAATGTTACAAAAATAAATAAATAAAAATGATATAGGGGGCACCCGGGTTTGAACCGGGGACCTCTCGATCTGCAGTCGTATGCTCTACCACTGAGCTATACCCCCGGTGACAGCGATAGTCAAAAATAGCATACACAATATAAGATTGTTACCGCCCTCTATCGTTACGGTATGCAATGTTGCCAATTCGTAATTATATCATCTGCACGATAGATGGCACTATACATAACAATTCATGTCTTGAGCGCTGTAATTTGATTATTCTTTTTTACACTTTAATATTAAACAAAGCTTAACATTTATATAAATTATATATATTTTTAAACATACTGTAGTTTGATGTTATTAGGCACCCCTGGCGCCCTCTGCTGCATAACCTCCTCGATCTGAAACAAATAACAGACAAGATTTATTAAAATGGTATTTAATAAAAATACAATAGTTATTATTGAGCAATAATTTTAAACATAGGTCAGTGCTTAGTAGATTTAAACGATTATTAAGGTGCATACTTCTCTTAAATAAAATACCTAATTAAATTATAAACAATTTCAACAGAATAATCATACCAAAAAATTTTTTTTCTGCAATTTACTATATTACCAAACATTAATTTGAAAATAAAATTTGACAATTAAAATGGGACTGATAAAAAAATTAATCTCATCAATTATAAAAATAATTAGCTTTGCCAGACGTCCACGAATACATTATTTAATTTTCAGTACTCAAACTAACTAACAATTTCTTTTTTATACAACTTAGAATGGCAAACAAGCTGACGGCCCACCTGATGGAAAGTGGTAACCGTCGCCTATAAACATGAGCAGTACCATAGACATAACAGAGTATACTGTTACGCCCATGATACACCCTATGCGTTGTCATTCCTGAGGACTCAGATGTTATGCCTCTGTACCCTGTAAATTCACGCCATATCCCACCCTTCAAACCGAAACACAACCATGCAAACACAACTGCTATACGGTTGAAACACGAATGGGACAGAGGTAGCCAAGCAAACGACTTTTGTACAAAGTCTCCCTCTGGTAAATAAATGAGTAAACATTTAACAAACACCATAATTCATTATTAATATAACAAATAAAATACATACGGATAAAGTGTTTCTAAACATTTTCAGCACTAAAATTGTTAACTAAATATTCTTTGTTTCACAAAAAACAAAGTAACAAATGAAATTTTGTAACTACAAATATACTACTAGCATTGGCTTATCTTCGATGCAGAATTGTCTTATCGTTAATCCTTTTATGATTCGATTATACACGGTTATTCGCATTATTATATCTCGTAATCTATACTATCCCACTGCTGGGCAAAGAACCTCATTTACCAAATCGGTATATGTATTTATTTTATATCTATATCTACACGTATCACTATTTTTACAGGTACTAACCTAATACAACAGGGGGGGGGGGGAAGGAATCGTTAGCAATGGAGTTTGACAGCCCCATTGCTAGCAATATGCCTTATTAGGTCGACCTCCACGTGGTTCCCCCTGGAAACCATCGTGAACAATTCTTGTTGAATTCGTCACGATAGGCTAACTGGCCTGCTTCATCCTCACCTATCATCCTTCACTGGTGCCCCGCCGGTGTATACCGATAGCGCAGGTGGGGTTACCATTCCATTATCATCCATTAAAATACAACAGGGGGGAAAGGAGTTGTTAGTAATGGAGACTAAGGATCCTATTGCTAGCAATATACCCAACCAGGTCCACCTCCTCGCGGTTCCCCCTGGGAAACTATCATGGTTAATTCCTGATGAATTCATCATGATGGGCTAACTGGCCTGTTTTCATTCTCATCTATCACCCTTCACTAGTGCTCCGCCAGCGTATCCCGTTAGCGCAGGCTGGGTTACCATACCATTTTCATCCAATAAAAAAAACCTAATACAACAGTGTAACAAGATATTTATGTATTGAATGAATGAATGAATGAGTATAGTTTATTTGCATTATACAATATAGGAAATAAGCAAGGCAATTTACAAACAACGATACAATTGTATAAGTACAGTAAGGCGGTCTTATTGCTGAGAGCAATCTTTTATTTTATTGTATATGCATATACATATATGTTTATGTATATTATATTGTTAAGAGACTTTCAAAAGACATCCTTTTTTTTTCTTCTTTCTTCACAATTGGTCGGATTTTCCTTACGACTATATTATGTACTTTATAGGGACTACCGGTTTCACTTACATATAATTAGATCAAGAAAGCTCGAATAGTTTCGGGACCAATTCAGGACCCTTAACCATGTGTTAAAATATGCGCATACATTTTAAAATATTTTTTTACGAAATTTTTAACGATAAAATTTGTAGAAATTTTGTATGACACTCCGTTTGTATGTTTGTACCGGCATCAAGCAAAAACATCTGAATCAAATTGGATATAGTTTTTACAATTGTAATCCTAAAAGTCTAATGTCTTATCTTAATACGCAATCTGGAAGTGATCTATATAATTGGTTTTTCTACTTCTGAAATCCACGCGTGTGAAGTAGCGGGCAAAAACTAGTCAGTATTATATAAATAAATACACGATTTCACGTTCTAAATTTAAATATATACAAATTAATATACCCACAAAATATCGTGTTTACAATTGAAGATGCTTGTTTTTTTGCGGAGCAATATATCTACATATACGAGTACTTGTAGTGAAGGCGATCAACGACCTCCAAAAAAGGCACCCTAGAGATGTAGCACACACACACAGACTGTTCTAGTTGGTACACGAACCTATCGATAGAGACGTTATCGCTACCGCATACTTGAAATGGAACGAGATCGCTGACATCACAATAATTATTCAACAAATTTCTTCAGTTTCATTAATGTTCACGCTCATTAGCGTATTTAAGGTTATATTCTAAGGGAGGCCTGGCCCCTTAAAATAACTTTACGTACGCTTAGAAATGTCTTTGAGCATAATTAAAAGCCCCGCTGGTACGTTGGGATGGGCAAAAACAAATCTGAGATGGGCACAACCGACCCGGTCTCATATGGCTATGTTCCACCTTATTGTTTCTATGTAAACGTAATGTGTACATAAAAAAAATCTGCGATGCTCCGCTTAAAATTACACTCGCCTATCCCACGGGAACATTGCGGTTTTCCGCATCAGTACTCTTTCCCCCTTATGGGAAGATATCAGTTACTAGAGTTTCTTATTTCAAAATACTGCACGATTATGTTTTTAATACAATAATAGTTTTATTTAATCCTTATTACCTTATTAATGTTATAAACAAACATTCTTGTTTATTACTAGATAATATTTTTGTACAAAAGTCGAATGCTTTGCGGGTACCTCTGTCCCATTCGTGTTTCTACCATGAAGCAGTTGTATTTGCATGGCTGTGTTTCGGTTTGAAGGGTGGGATATGGCGTGAATTTACAGGGTACAGAGAAATAACACTTGAGTCCTCAGGAATGGCAACGCATGGGGAGTATCATGGGCGAAACAGTATACTCTGTTATGTCCATCGTACTGCTCATGTCTATAGGCGACGGTTACCACTTTCCATTAGGTGGGCCGTCAGCTTGTTTGCCATTCTAAGTTGTATAAAAAAAAGTATTAGTGTTCAAATATTTATTAACCAAAAATCTCTCGTTATCATCGGTGATAATATGTTTGTTTTTTTTTAATGGCTGAACATGAAATGGCAATCCCACCTGCGCTGGTATACGCTGGCGGGGCACCAGTGAGAGATGATACGTATGAAGATGAAAGCGGGTCAGTTAACCTATCGTGACGAATTCGATATGAGTCAATCACGATGGTTTCCAGGGGGAAACCGCGAGGAGGTCGATCTGATTAAGTATACTGATAGCAATGGAGCTGTTTTCCATTACTAACAATCCCTTCCTCCTCAGTGATAACGAGTAGGTATAATAAAAAAAATTGCCTCTAAGAAAACAAAGTTAGCATTTTTCTTACAACTATAAATTGGTATTCTCTTCTTCTGCGTACTCCTGACCACATGGCTGCCATTTATATGTTGTTTTTATATTAAGATTTAGATTTTATTTTAAATATACTTTTACAATGCGAATTATTTATGTTTTTTTTATTTTTAGATAACAGTTATTGCTTGAAAAAACACGATTGTTGCAGAGAACTCTTTGAACAAGTAATCCAAAGGTTTATACTTCAAAACCTTTGAAGTATGAACACGTCAAATTAAAAAGTACGATAACTGAAAAATGTATAAAACAAACAAGGTTGTATCAAATATATATATATATATTAAATCTTTAAATGTGTCCATAGTAAGTTACATATAATAAAGATTTTGCAATACAAAATAAGTGATTTTTTTAATAAATTCTTTTATCTCACGATCTAAGTTTCCTGTGAATTTTTTCATAGACTTACTACATATTTACATAGTATAACGTAGGTACTAGGTACTTTATAATCCAAGGATTTTCCCCTAATTAAAAAAAAAACTGTATGACTTGATATCTTACTATCGTCCCGCCTTAGGATTTAAAAATAAAATTATAATAGACTAGAGGAAGAATTGATTTGCATACCTATTAAAATGAAATCTTATTGAATTTATACTTGATCAATTGCTTGACTGATAACGATGAATATTTGATTTAAAACTCATTACAAGAATACATGATGCTCGCAAAAATGATCGGATATATAACGACCGATTGCCATTGAAAAAAAAAAAGAAGACACACGGGCACGGATAGATAGATAAAAGTACTTTTTTTTTAATCTGTTAATCGCTGATAATATAGCTTACTATAGGTGAAAAAATATCAAAACCATTTTTAAATGTCTTTAAATATTTTTCGAATATATCAATTACAATCAAAATATCAAACATATCCTTTATATAATTATGTTTATGCAGCTAGATGCGGATTTAAGTATAAGGAAAAAAAAAAGTATTCGTTCATAATCATACTGAAGGGTGTCCAACGTCGAAATTTAAATTTGAAAAATAGAATGATTTTCTAAATTTGATTATATTTTTTAGATATGTATTCGGGTTCACTATATTACTATGTAAATATATGTAAGTAAAAGGCCGGGTCGTAGTCTTCACAGCTGCTTTAATTTTTAAAAACATGGCCGTCTCCCCAGTGTTGCCCTCGCTCAAGCATAACATAGATAATACAATATACATATTATACAACAATATTGAAAGTGCTTTATGACGCTAAACATAATGTAAAAAACTACCTCAAACACACGAATATTTTATCTCATCTGCACAGACTTTGATAAGACATTTCGTTTTTAAAGTTTCCATGGAAATAATTATTGGCGCCAAACTTTTTTTTTTAAGAATTGTGCTCAAACCCAACCACGGATAAC